CGTTTCATGAAAATCTCCAACATTTCTTAATCCTGGGTTGCTGTGCAGTAAAAGGTTAACTGACCAGGTCTAGGAATATCCAAACCTGCACAGGCCAAAGGAAGGACTGGCCCTTGACCGGCTCCTGGGAAGTGACCTCTGAGACCTTGGAATGTCCTGCCTGAAAAGAGGGTCTCTGTAGGCATGGAGTCCTGTGCCACTCCAGACAGTCAATGCCAACAATGTGACGTGTGGTGGGGCCTTGGGTCACATTTCCTCAGTTGGACCCCTGGCCCAGCTGGAGTCTGAGCATAAAGGTCACTTCCATGGGTACTCCATGCCTATGTGATGGAACCCCAATAAAAACTTCAGACACCAAGGTTCAGGGAGCTTCCCTGGTTGGCAATACTTCACGTGTGTTGTCACAAATTGTTGCCGGGAGAATTCAGCACATCTGACTCCGCTGAGAGGGGGCAGCAGGAAACCTGCCCCTGCTCTCTCCTGGATTCCGTCCTCTGTGCCGTTTGCACTTGTTGGTGTTATCTCGCTCCTTTCACTGGAATGAACCAGGAGTGTAATAGCTTTTCTGAGTTCTGTGATTCCTTCTCGTGAACCATCGACTCTGAAGGTGGTGCTGTGGGCCCAGCTTGGTTGTCCCTTCATCTCTGCGATGGAAGAGCCCATTTGTTGACGTTGATGCCCTGCAACATTGCCCACAAGAAAGGAAAGCTGCCTGTAGACTCTGTGGAGTTGGTTGGGGCCTGTTGCAGAACAGCAAGCAGCGTGGGAGGCTAAGAGCTCTCCACTGGTCAGAATCAGGCCAGGTTTTACTCGGTGGGTCCTGTACAGGACCATCACTGTTAACAGAGGTGACTCAGTGCGAGGACCCCGACGGGCACTCAGTGAGGACTTGTTAGTGTGCTTTCATGGGAGTCATGGTCCTTCCTAGAAGGAAGGATGAGTAGAAAAGGGGACAGCAAAGGAGGCAGCCAAGATCCCGGAGTTCAGACAGGAAAGGGACTTGGGGTGGGGGTAGGGGGTTGGGGGGTGAGAGGGGAGTCTACTAGTTCCTGGGTCATATTATCAAGGGGTGTAATTGGGGACCCAGCCCCAGGGGAAACTCAAAGCTGGGGCGCTGTGAGGTCTGATGTTCCCAAAAGCCCTTGGAGCCAGAGAGGTCAAGCTGGTGAACAGCGCCAGGGTTGCTGTTGCTCCTTCTCCCCCGGGGGGGGCGCCCCAGCGCTGGCCCTGGAGCCCGCAGAAGCAGTGGAGGCGTCAAGCCGAGGAGAGGAGACATGGGCGCTGGAGTCGGGGTGCTGCTGCTGGCACAGCTGTTGGTGAGGGTCGAACTCGAAATGCAGGGTGAGCTCAGGCCGGAGCTAGGGGTGTCAGGGGTAGGAGGGGAGCAGGGACTCCGAGGGGCGCTCACCTTCTCGCCTCACCCCAGGGTTGCAGGATCAGAACCAGCTGTTTTCAGGTAAGGCGCCCAGGATGCAGGTTTCCCTACCGGGGCACCAGGGCCAGGACGCGAAGGGCGCCATCTCTTTTCATCTCTCTCCCGCCCCAGTTTCAAGAATTCATCGTGGCTGAAGCGTAACTGACGGGCCCCGGGGGAGGGGCGGGGCCTGCAGGCCGGTGGGAAGGGCCCCCCGCGTCCCCTGCTCCCCAGGCTGCAGGGTCCCAGCACGGTTCCCCTGGGGCCGAGGGCGGGCAGATGGGCCGCATGTCCGTCTGTCCCCCCCAGAGCCTTGTGGCCGCCGGAACGTCCACTTGCTCATAGTGGGCGGAATGGAGTCTGCTCGCGGGCGCTGGCCGTGGCAGGTGAGCCTGCGGCTCCGTCACAAAGGCCACAGATGCGCGGGGAGCCTGCTCAACCGGCGCTGGGTGCTCTCGGCAGCGCACTGCTTCCGGAAGTGAGTCTGCCCCGAGCACGCCTCACACACGTGACCCCCCTGTTCCCCCGAGCCCCAGGCCTCGCTGCAGCGGCTCACACCCATCAGAGTTCCCATGGTGCGCCTGCAGGGAACTCTTCAGTTTTTCCCAGAAGGGTCTTCCAGATCATTCCCCTGCACATTTGTGTGTCTTGTTCTGTTCTCTTTCTTGTTCTCTTCTCCCCAAATGGCATCGCTAGCCTTCACCTTCCTCCTCCCACCTCCCAGTGGAGGTGCGCCACAGCGGGGAGGAATGGGCGAGGGGGTGAGTGCTGAGCACAGAACCTGCCTGGGGCAGCAGTGGCCCCTGAGACTGTTGGGACTCCTCTCTGCTGAGCATCCTACTCTGGCATCTGTGCATCTGCTCATTCATTTTTTTAGGATGGCTCTGAGGGGTGACAGGCTGGCTGAGTGACTGGCCAGTCAGACCAGGGGGTGGGGGGGCACCCTTCTGTCCTACTCCCAGCCCCCAAGTCTCTGGGATCTGGGGCTTTGGTTGCAGGTTCTCTGGGCTCCCGCCATTTCTTCACTGGACACTTTGTCCTGTAAGAAGAGCAGCTTCTGGTGTCCAGGATGAGCCCTACTAGCACCCTGGGCAGTCTCCCCTTTGAGCGTGGGCCCCAGGTGTGCTCAGGTGGCCCACACTTTGCTAAAGACCCCTACCTGAGCCCAGCCGGCATGGCTCAGTGGCTGAACGTTGACCTATGAACCAGGAGCTCATGGTTCGATTCCCAGTCAGGACACATGCTTGGGTTGCGATCCCCACCCCCAGTGTAGAGCTTGCACGAGGCAGCTGATCAATGATTCTCTCTCATCATTGATGTTTCTCTCTCTCTCTTCCTGTCCTTTCCTGACCTGCAGGAGGCAGCCGATCGATGATTCTCTCTCATCATTGATGTTCCTATCTTTTTCTCCCTCCCCCTGCCTCTCTGAAATCAATAAAAATATATTATATATATATATAAAAAAAACCTCTAACTAACTGCTCTCCCCTGTCAGACACAGGGATCCGTCGAATTGGATGGCCCAGTTTGGCGAGCTGTCTTCCAGGCCGTCTCTCTGGAGCTTGGGGGCCATCTCCCACCGTCTCAGCGTGCAGGACATCATTGTGTACCCTCACTTCAAGGAGTCGTCACTCAACGACATCGCCTTGCTAAGGCTGACCTCCCCTGTCACCTACAACAAGTACATCCAGCCCATCTGTGTTATGGCCTCCGCCTTCGAATTCCAGAACCAGAGTAACTGCTGGGTGACCGGCTGGGGGAACATCCGTGAGAACAAAAGTGAGACGGGACAGATGGGTGGGAAAGAGGGGGGCATTATCCTCCTTTTCCAGCCGCCACCTTGGCCGGTGTACAGCTGGGCCCCTGTGTGGGCCTAATCAGCATTCTCTTCCCACCTGCTGTCCACTCCTCCTCCCCCTGACAGGGCAGGACTTTCTGTGCCCACTCAGTTCCTTGTCCTCCCCAGAGACTGAGCCTGAGCCAGCAGTGAGGGAGGACCAGCTCCCCCAAGGCCGAATTCCTCAACCTGCTGGGATCTGGATTTTTCAGAAAGGCCTTGGGTGTTATTGGCTTTTTTTTTATATATATATAATTGAGATTTAATTCACAAACCATGAAATTCACCATTTTAAGTATATACAGTTCAGTGGATTTTAGTATAGTCACAGTTTGCACCATCAGCGCCACCTAATTGCAGAACATTTTCATCGTCTCAAAATGAAATCCCATAACCACTAAACAGTCCCTCCCCATTACCCACTCCCTCCAGCCCTTAGCAACCACTAACCAGATTTTTAAAAATATCTGTTTTTATTGATTTGAGAGAGAGAGAGAGGAAGGGTAAGGGAGAGAGAGATAGAAACATCAATCAGCTGCCTTCTGCATGTCCCCTACTGGAGATCGAGCCCAAAACCCGGGTATGTGCCCTGACCAGGAATCTAACCGGTGACCTCCTGGCTTATGGGTCACCGGTGTGGCTCACTGAGCCACACCAGCTGAGCCACTAACCAGCTTTTTACCTCTATGGGTTATGGATATTTTATAGAAATGGAATCATATAATATGTGACATTTTGTGTCTGGTTTCTTTTACTGAGCATAATGTTTTTAAGGTTCATGTAGCATGAAATCAGAACTTCATTTCTTTTTATGACAGAATAATATTCCATTGTATGGATAAATCATATTTATTTCTTTATCCATTGATGAACATTTGTGTTGTTTCTTCCTTTTGGGTATTGCAAATAGAGCTGCTATGAACATTAGTATACAAATTATTGTTTGAACGTCCTTTTTCCATTCTTCTGCATATATATTTAGCAGTGCAGTTTCTGGATCACATGGTGATTCCATGTTTGACTTTTGAAGAACCAACCATGTTCCACAGCAGCTGCGCCATTTTCCATTCCTGTCAACAATAAATGGGGGTAACAATGTCTCTCCATTTTCCCCAACTTGTTCTTTTCCAAATTGTTTTAATTGTTGCCATCCTAGTGGGTGTGAAGTGGAATCTCACTGTGGTTTTGATTTGCATGTCTTCAATGACAGTTATGTTGAGCATCATTACATGTGTGTGATGGCCACTTGTATATCTCTCTTAGAGAAATATTCAAGTCCTTCACCTATTTTAAAATTGAGTTGTCTTTGTTGTTTAATTGTAATCACTTTTTATATATTCTGGATACTAGACCCTTATCAGGTATATGATGTGCACACATTTTCTCTAATTCTGTAGGTTTCTTTTCACTTTCTTGATAGTGTCTTTTGATGCACAATTTTCAATTTTTTAAATGAAATCCAAATTGCATGTTTTTCTTTTGTTTGTGCTTTTGAAGTTACATCTAAGAAACCATTGGAAAATACAAGGTCATGAAGATTTACCCCTATGTTTTCTTTACAAGTTTTATTGTTTTAGTGCTTATATTTATGTCTTTGATCCATTTTGAGTTTATTTTGGCATATGGTATGAGGTAGGAGTCCAACTTCATTCTTTTTTATTGTTAATTTTTACCCGATGATATCTTTTCCATTGATTTTTTTTTTAGAGAGAGTGGAAGGGAGGGAGGAGGGGGAGGAGAGAGAAACATCAATGTGAGAGAGACATATCAATTGGTTGTCTCCCACATGTGCCCCGACAAGAGCAGGGCTCAAACCTGCAACCCAGGTACATGCCCTTGACTGGGAATTGAGCCCATGACCCTTCGGTGGGCAGGATGACACTCTAACCACTGGGAAACACTGGCCAGGGCCCAACTTCATTCTTTTGCATGTGCATATTGAGTTATGCAAGCGCTGTTTGTTGAAGAGATCGTTCTCTCCTCCATTGAATTGTCTTGGCACCTTTATCAAAAGTGGATTTACCATAGATGTATAGATTTATTTCTAGACCAGGGGTGGGCAAACTTTTTGACTCAAGGGCCACGATGGGTTCTTAAACTGGACCGGAAGGCCGGAACAAAAGCATGGATGGAGTGTTTGTGTGAACTAATATAAATTCAAAGTAAACATCATTACATAAAAGGGTACGGTCTTTTTTTTTTTTTTTTTTTAGTTTTATTCATTTCAAACGGGCCGGATCCTGCCCGCGGGCCGTAGTTTGCCCACGGCTGTTCTAGACTCACAATTTTAGTCCACTGGTCTGTGTGTTTATCCTTGTGCCAGGATTTCATTGTTGATTCCTTTAGCTTTATAGCATATTTTGAAATTGGGCATTGTGAGTCCTCCAATTTTGTTCCACTTTTTCTTTTCTTTTTAGTTAGGCAGGATCTTTTTTGTTTAATCCTCACCCAAGAACATGTTCATTGATTTTGAGAGAGAAAGAAAGAGAGGGAGAAAAACACTGTGAGAGATTAGTTGCCTCCCACACGCACCCTAACAGGGGCCAGGGATCGAGCCTGCAACCCAGGCATGTGCCCTTGACCGGGAATCAATCCTGAGACCCTTTGGTGTGCAGGCCAGCGCTCTAAGCCACACTGGCCAGGGCTGCACGAGTGTTCTTTATTTCTTCCAATGAATTAAGTTACTGATTAGTGTCCTTTCATTTCATCCTGAAGGGCTCCCTTTCCCATTACTCATTGGGTAGATCTAACAGTGAGTCCTCTCAGCACTTATTTATCTGGAAGTGTCTTAACTTCTTTGTTTTCTGAGGGAAAGTTTTGCCTGAAATAGAATTCTTGGTTAACTTTTATTCTTTCAGCACTTTAAATATGTCATTCTAGCCCAGTAATGGTGAACCTATGACATACGTGTCAGAGGTGACACACGAACTCATTTTGTGGTTGATTTTTCTTTGTTAAATGGCATTTAAATATATAAAATAAATATAAAAAATATAAATCTTTGTTTTACTATGGTTGCAACTATCAAAAAATTTCTATATGTGACATGGCACCAGAAGTGGATAGAGCGGATAGAGCGTTGGCCTGCAGACTAAAGGATCCCAGGTTTGATTTGGGTTAAGGGCACATGCCCAGGTTTCGGGCCCGACACCCAGAAGGGGGCGTGCAGGAGGCAGCCGATCAATGATTCTCTCTCATCATTGATGTTTCTATCTCCCTCTCCCTTACTCTCCCTGAAATCAATAAATCAAAATTATTTTTAAAAAGCCAGTTTGGCTCAGTGGATAGAGCATCAGCCTGCGGACCAAAGGGTCCTTGGTCTGATTCTGGTCCAGGGCATGTACCTTGTTTGCAGGCTCCCCCCAGCCTGTATTTATTTATGTATTTATTTATTTATTTTAAAGAAAAGAACAATGGCCCAGCCCTGGCCAGTGTCACTCAGTTGGTTGAGCGTCATCCCATGCACCAGAAGATTGCCAGTTCATTAGGGCACATACCTGATTAGGGCACATACCTGATTGCAGGCTCAATTCCCAGTAGGGGGCGTGCAAGAGGCAGCCGATGGAAGTTTCCCACATCAATGTTTCTCTTTTTTATCTGGAAGTGTCTTAACACATAGTCACTTATGTCCCATCCTCCCTTAAAAATCAACAAAAACCTTTTTGTTTTTAAAGAACAATGGCCCAGGCATTGTAAGACACTGGGGGATAGGGGACTGTCAAGGGCGGGGGGGAAAAAAGGACACATATGTAATACACTTTGTAATACTTTAAGCAATAAAAAAAAAAAAAAAGAACAATGGCCCAGGCATTGCGAGTGCCCCAGGGATCTCCGTTGCCATAGCGGCATAGCCCATATCATTCCTCCCAACCTGATGGCAGAGGAGAGGCTCAGGATGCTATCTTTCTGTTTCCTCAACTCCTATGCAGAGCTGCCAGCTCCCTACATCCTCCAGGAAGTACGGGTTTCCATCATAAACAACTCCCGGTGTAATGACCTGTTCCAACAGCCCAATTTCTTCTACAGACTGGCAGATGATGTGATTTGTGCTGGCTCTGAGGATGGCAAGCATGACGCCTGCGAAGTGAGTGCCCCTGCCCCAGTCAGAGCCTTGCTGGAAACAGGCCCCGCCCCCTCAACCTTGGGCCTGAGAACAACCCCCATGGCCAGTCTACCCTCAGAGTTGGTTAAGGAGGAAGTGATTTGGCCCTTACTTACCCTGCCTATAAAAGCTCATTTTGCATTAGCAGGATCTCTTTGGATCCTCATGTGGATAGCGATTTTTTCCCCCCTTTGCAGATGCGGAAACTGAGGCGTGGTCACTTCCGGGGGGAGGAGTAGGATTTGCACCTAGTTTGCCCAGCTCCATAGCCCCTCCTGTTCTGGGGCCTCCCCACGCGCCCCTCCTGCCCCAGGCCAGGCTCACCTATGCTGCTCCCCAGGGTGACTCAGGCGGACCCTTGACCTGTGAGAAGAATGGACTGTGGACTCAGATTGGAATCGTGAGCTGGGGAATAGGCTGTGGTCGGCCCAACCGACCCGGTGTCTACACCAACATCAGTAGATACTTCAGCTGGATCCAGAAGCACACGGCCCACAGCGCACCCCGGCCAGACCCCTTCCCACTACTGCTGCTCCTCCCTCTGCTCTGGGCTGCCCCACTCGTGTAGCTGACCTGCACAGCTGGCCCTGTAAGGGTGCAGGAGTCACCACAGCACTGGGCACATTCACGCAGGGCTGTGGACGGACACCCCTGAACTGTCTGCTGGATCAGGCCCTGGTCCCTTCTGTCTCCTTTGCTAATAAATGTGTGCATTTTCATTGATTCCTTGCAGAGTGTTTTGTGGACTTGGGTGGTTTCCTGGACACTCTCATAGTCACTTATGTCCCATTCTCTCCAAGACCACTCCCTAATTCCTAATTCTTTCTCTGCTGAGCTGCACTATACTTATTTTGGTTGCGAACAGGAGAACCCCCACAGGTTAGTGCAATCAGAAAGAATTTGTGGAAGGACGTTAGTAGCACTGGGGGGCTAGGAAGACTGGAGTGGGGTATGGACATGCCCCTGAACACCCCAGTGCTCGTCACACAGATGTCAGCTGCTCCTGGTCTTAATGTGGTCGGTCCCCCAAAGGCTGACCTGGGACTCGGACTGGGGTGCGGATAGTTTATTTGGGAGGCGATACCAAGAAGCGCCAGTGAGGAGGGGGGACACTGAGGCAGGGAAGGAAGAACCCCATGACGTTTGCCTGAATGAGGGTACTGAGGTGCAGTCCTGCTGGGCCCCTGGAGAAACCGCAGGCTCCTGGAGGACAAGGATGCTGTGTGTGGGCACTTCTCTCCTGACCCCACAGGTTGAGGGCTGTCCTGGTGGCATGGGTGCTACAAGTTACAGCAGGTCCCGGTGAGGACGCCAGTGCCTCAGGAGCCGCTGCAGCACCACAAGGTGGCCTGGGGGAGGCGGGCAGCACCAAGTCTGTCTGGCTCCTCACTGGTGTCCCAGAACTCAGCCTCAGCATGACCAGGGATCAGGCCAGTCGTAGGGCCCATTCAGGGGCACCTGGAACTGCTCAAGCAGATCTGCGTTTTCACAAGATTCCCAAGTGCTGTGAGCTCAAGACGTGTGAGGAGCTATGGTTGGTCTAGATTTCTTCCCTCGGCTCCCCACCCTACAGTTCCCTGCTGTGGAGAGGCAGGTGTGGGAGTCTTCAGAGGGCAGACCTTCCTGGTTTCTGCCCCACACCGCCAGCAGTGCATTGTGTAGGGCCGTGGTCGGCAAACTGCAGCTCGAGAGCCACATGCGGCTCTTTGGCCCCTTGAGTGTGGCTCTTCCTAAGCCTTAGGAGTACCCTAATTAAGTTAATAACAATGTACCTACCTATATAGTGTAAGTTTAAAAAATTTGGCTCTCAAAAGAAATTTCAATCATCGTACTGTTGATATTTGGCTCTGTTGACTAATGAGTTTGCCGACCACTGGTGTAGGGCATCACACTTGGACTTCGTGCCCTGGGGCAGCCCTGTGAAGCTGGAGCGCCCCTCCCCCTCACCCCCCCAAAGAGGAAACTGAGGGGACAGGACTGCTGGAGTCACCCAGCTCACAAGGGCCCGGGTCTAGAGAGCACTTGGCCAGGCCTGGGGTCTGCGCTCCATGTTGGGCCTCCCAAGCCGGAACTTGGTGCCTCAGCAGCCAGCCCTGTCAGGAGCCTGGGGCCTGGTCAGCTTTGGAGGAGAGCTGCCAAGGATCCTCTGGAGCCTTCTGGAGCCTCCTGGCCTGACCGCAGTCCCCCTTCTCCCCCCACCTCACTGCCCTTGCTTGGCTGGGCTCCTGCCCCCCGTCTCCAGCACCTTGGCCCAAACTGGACTTCTTTTGAGAATTGCAGGTGTCTCTTCCCTGCCACCTTGAAAGTGCTGCTCAAAGCATCTTTGTTTGAGGCTGGACAGCTGAAGCCGCAGCCCCTCCCTGGTCTCCTTAATTACCCCTGGCAGGGCCCGCCCCCTCCTGGCCTTTTAAGCCCCCACATACAGCGCCAGCCCAGTCAGCTGGGAGGGACCAGGCTGTAAGGGTGAGAGCAGGGTCCAGGGGCTGGCAGGGTGGGTGGGGGCAGCAGTTGGGTAATGGGAATAGAGGGTGGGATGGGGCTTGCCTGGAGGCCGAGGGTCCCCAAGTCTCAAAGGGGTTGGGGGCAAGGGTGTTCCCCGGGGCCTGGACGCAGACAGAGCCTGGGCCCTGGGCGTAAGCCTGAGACTAACTGGGGGCTGAGGGAAGACAGAACGGCCTCTGGGACACAAGTGCTCTGGGCTAGGACCCTCCTTCCTCCCTCTGCAGAGTCTAAGCCCTGGGCAGGGCCACCTTCACCCAGCACAGTCCTAGAGACAGAATGAGGGGGGCTTCCTGCCCCCCGGTACTGCTCCTGCTGCTGCTGCGTGAGTGTGGGACAGGGGCTACGGGTGCTGGACACAGGGACCTTGGCTACCAGATGTCCCACCTCACCCCTCTCTGGCCTGGTTCCCATAGAGCACACCAGGGCAATCTAATCTTGGCTTCAAGGGTCCCAGTTCTCTCTGTCACTGACCTTGGGCTCTCCAAACCTGCATGTGCTGCTGTCTTCGCAATGGGTATAAGCCCCCTCCTCACCGTGCTTTGGGGAAGGTTAAATTGGGTAACCAGTGGACATAATCCCGGCACCAGGTTAATGCAACAGATTTGTTCCACCTTCCTTATCTGTAACCTCCCTTCCCCTCGCTCCGTTATCTGATACCAAATCCATAATCCAGTGCCTTCCCTACTTCCTCTTCCAGGAGTGGCCCGGACGCTGGAGTC